ACAATGGAATACAATACTCAGGAGCAATGATTTTGAATGATACTGTATAACATGGTAGAGGCAGGAGAGCATTATGCTGAGTGAACTAACTCTGTCTCATAAGGACAAATACTGAGTAAGACCATTATTGTAAAAATAGAAGGATAACTAGTAAGAAGTGTATAAATGTCCAAAGGGAGAAGAGGGAAGAGGAAGGAGCTGAGAAATGTAGTAAATCGTGAGGTCACAGCATTTGGTGAGTGAGGAAGGGGGTGAAGGAATTACATGATTTCCAGTGGAGACCTGAAAAGACAGGATAATAGTGGGCCTAGATCAATGATGATTAATTTTATAAAGTACAATGAGTAGGAATGATCATCTGAAACACAATGTATATGAATTTTATATGGAAACCACTATAAAATATTAAAAAAAAAGAAAAGACTGCTAACCATGGTTCCATGGGAGATAGATATGCAACCTCCCCCCATTATATTTTACAGCATTGGAAACCTGATAGAGAGTCCCTGTGAGTCAGAATCTGCTGTGTAGCAGTGAGTGCATGAGTTTTTACTAGTGGATTACAAGTGTGTAAATCTCTCCATGGTAAGAAATGTACCAGATGTTGTTTCTTCTCTTCAAGAATAGAGATTAAGGGACTTGATTTTGACTTATGTTTTAAGACCAATTTATAGAGACTTAACGGCATGTACTTTGTTATCATAGCATATAGCTATAAAACTAATTTAGGAAGATTGTTTATGACTTATTTCACATATTTTTATTTTCTGTCTCTAAATTCATAAATTTCTCTTTAGAGCTTTATACATGACTTACACATAGGTAGTTTGAAAACTTTACAGAGCATACTTAGTGAAAATGTTTTGTTTTATACTACAGAACAAAAACAGTTCTCTCATTGAACCTAGCATGGCAGCCTTTCAGAATATCAGTTTCCCATTATTTGAGGGTATTGGCCTTTATATGCTAGCGTCAGTTTTCTTAGTAGTCTGTGGGTTCTGACTTCAACATCTAAGAATAAATACTTTATACAGTGAGGGAAATGGCATACTAATAAAATCATATTCCACTTTCACCTAAATCATCAAGAAGAAATTGGATCTGTTAGAATGTTTCAAATATCATGGTACTAAAATGTGTTCAGTAATAACATCCTCTACTTATGTTACTGTTTATGTAAGCAGCTTCTGTGTGGCTAGTGTAAGCTTTAAAAGGTATACAGGCTAGATCCTCCTGTAAGTGCAGGAAGCCATTCCAGCTGTAGACTAAAAGAATCGGTTTTGTCTACTTTTCTGCAAGTCATGTCAAAATTGGCATTTCCCCAACCAAATTTCACATCCAGAAACCAAATAGACAGACACATGTGTCTAAACCCCCACACACAGCTCTAAAGGAGCTCCTTAAGGGGAAGCAAAGTGTTTCTTCCTCTTCTAAAAAACGTTTATTTTAATTACTTTTTAAAAATTCAATTGTGAAACACCTTAACAAGCCAACTTATATGAAAGTCTTGAAATGTGGAGCAGAAACACTACTGGGGGATCAATATATAAAAGGGAGATGGAGGTGGTCTTGAGCAATAGAAAAGGTTGTTATTCTATCATTTGAATATCACACAGAAGAATTAACAGGAAGGTATGAGCGATTTTTATGTCATTTGGAAGTTATTAGTAGACTTTCCTTTGTTGCATTGAGAAAGAAGAAAATATGAAGTTACAGTGAACCCATATGGTCAGCAGGAAAACCCTATTTAATTGCTTTATTGCCAGAAATGTTAAATCACTTCCTGGGGATGCAGTTCAAATAAAACATATGGCAGTTATTAACGAAAACCCCTAATGAATTAAAAAATATTCTCTTTATGAGTTTTCTCATAAGCAACAATAATACATGATGTTTAAACTATATACAACTATGAATTTCATATTTTTATTTCATGAATAGTGACTCTGTACCAGGTTGCCCAGCCTATATATAACCCTGTAGATTCTCAGGACATGTGGCTGTTGTTGTGTACCGTTTGCTGGAACTGACCCATAATTGCCCCTCCAGCTGGTTTTCAGAGGAGGAGATTTTCCATCCATATCAGGCAAAACAGCTGGAGGATTCAAACTGTGATCCTTAAGGATTGCAGTACAGCTTCTAACCACTAGACCACCAGAGCTCCCTGGACTTGTGAATAGGCAGAAGAAAGTCACAGCATGATGTCAGGGCGCAAAGAGCCTCTCTGACAGAACACTAACCAAAGCAAACTAATCCTGTTGCGGTTGACTTGATTTCACCTTATGTGTTAGTGTACAGAGCAGAACTAGCCTACATAGCATTACAGGCCATGGTCTTTGCAATCACTTGTTATGCGTCAGAGAGTTGGACAATGACTAGAGAGGATAGAAGGAGAATTGATGCCTTTGAGCTGTTGGTGCTGGAGAAGAGTATTGAATGTACCGTGGACTGCCAAGAAAACAAACAGATTGATCCTGGAGAGGGTTAAACCAGGCTACTCCTTGGAGGCAAGGATTCTGGGGCTTCGTCTGACATACTTTGGACATGTTGTAAGGAGAAACAGGTCCTTGGAGAGGGACATCATGCTTGGGAGGGTGGAGGGACAGCGTAGGAGGGGAGGACCCTCTATGAGGTGGATTGATTCAGTGACTGGGATAATCGGGATGGGTGTGTCAGAGGATAGAGCAGGGTTTAGGGCTGTTGCACACAGGGTCGCTATGAGTCGCAAACGACTTGACAGCACATAACAACAACAACAACAACAATACTTTGAAAGCAGATTACCAGGACTTCTTAGACAAAATGCTTCTGGTGGATTTAAACAACCAAACTTTCAATTAGTTGTCAAATATTTTGGTGAGTTGGCACCTGATAGAACACCAGTTAGTTTCATTATAGAGCTCCCTCTTCTCAGCAGTCAGTGCCAAGAAGAACTCTCTGACTAATGGCTCTTTCTCAAGTGTTCAATATCTAAAAAGAACCATTGTATCCCTTTTAAACAGTTCTGTCCCTCATCGATTTCAATGCAGTATACACTCCCCTCTTTCTCTGCCATCTCTCAAACCTGATGTCAGATTGGGTATTATTGTCAAGACAGGAGTCCATAATGAAGGTTGCACAGTGGAGTGGACTTGGGGGGAGGGATTGCATAACAATGAAAGAGTTTTTCTTTTACTTTTTTAAGGAGATGAGTGAACTAAAAGTGCAACAATGAATGACTGGAAACCCTAAGTCTCTGTAAACTTTCATTAAAATTAATTTAAAAAAATATATACATGCTACATAATTTAAAAAAAAAAACTTAGAAAATAAAATTAGAGGACCAGAATTTGTAACCCACTAAGAACATAGTTTAACCTTCTAGACTATTTTATTTTAATTTTGGTGTTGTACATTTTTTTGTAAATTACATGTATACCAAATTTTAAAATACTTTATGGATATACAAAATTCAGTCAATAATATAGCAAATGATCTTGCACCAATTTCCTCACCATCCACTGTTAATAAATATTACCTTTATTTAAAATAAATAAATAAAAACAAAACCATTGCATCTCCACTTCAGGAGACCTCATTGGCTATAATCTACTGACTCCTCTGAAGGTCTACACCAGTATTCATTCTGATCCCTGTCATTTGCCATCCACTATGTAAAATAGTTGACTTTTTGTATATCTTCTTCAGTTGAATTGTGAATTCCAACACCAAAGATCTTATTTCACCTAAGTAAAATGTCTACAAAATATTGCTAAGAATTTTTTTAATCTAGAATTATGTTGAGCATGTAACTAAGAGTAAACAAGTAATTTTAATTAATTTAAATCCAAGTGTCAGCATTTTCTAATGCCATTCATTCCTGTGGAATTTCACCTGCTTAATCAACTTATTAATTTTACCAGTCTAATCATTCAAATAATTTTTCCCTTCATATTTGAAAATAAATTAGCTGAGGGATAGTCAAGTATTATCCAGCTTAATTTTTAAAAAAGAAAATTCTAGGCATCTTGTTAACTTTCCTCCCTCAAACTTTTTATATGCTAGTGCAATTATTAAATGGAATCAAGTTAGTAGCTTTAAGAACCATCAAGAACATGATGAGATTCTAACATAATTGGCGCTGGCACTGGTAACATAGGATGTAGTGTGTCAGGCTGCTAACTGAAAGGTCAGCGGTTCAACATCCCCAGCCGCTCCCTGGGACAAAGAAGAGCAGTCTCCTTATGTAATAATTTACAGCCTCAAAATGCAGTGTTAGTGGTTGCCCACCTCTTCATTCTTCCATAGGTAAGGTCCAAGGG